CTAATTCTGAAGAGTATTCTAATTTCTTGTGATTAGTTCCTATATCTTCATCCACAGCCACTGAGAGTGAACTAGTATAATTAATAGAGTAGGCCTATCCGGTTCATTAAACACGATTGTGAAATCTATTAAATGCATGACCCTGAAAAAGTAATACTTATTAAAAAGAAAGTATATCAACCACTATGCAATCAATAATCAATGATTTGTTATTGGAAATAGATACCAGAGACAAGCCATTGCCAGTTTTATGCTGAATAAGGTGTCAAATCACTTTTGAATAATTTCAATACGTTCATAACGCCCGATAATTTATAATAATGATGTACGAAATTGTATGGATATGGCCTGGAACCTCTGATGGTGGAAATACTTCCCCCTATTTGTATCATCATAAACCATATAAGACCAATTTACACTAGAACAAATAAACCCTTGGTTCAGACAATTTCTAAACAAGCGTAATTTTTTTTGTTTATTACGCCAAATGCACCATGAATTTCCAACATATTTGATGGACAATAATAGTTTATCTTATATTCTTATCTTATGTTCTTATTTACAGATGCACCTCTAGGTCAGCTCCCGTATTTGGAAGTCAAGGGCAAGAAACTTCCCCAGAGCCAAGCTATAAGCCGATTTTTAGCTCATGAGTTTGGTATGCCTAACGTTATTCATTGAAATGATAAATTAATGGACTTTTTTTGCAGTGTTAATCAAACTTACAATTGACCAATCAGAACAGGTCCAGGAATACGCGCTTGTCTCACCAACATACGCGCTGTTCCACAGACGCACGTGTTTGCGTATGTTTTTACACCGCCTTTTTATGGGACCTTATATAGACATTTAGAAATAGGTCTCCAAGTCAAATTACAAAAGTTTGTTTTATTTCTGGAATATGTTCGTTTGCATAGGCATATCCAAAATCTACCTTGATTGGCCTATAATAAATTACATAATTTGCATAAATTCAAAATGGCCGCCATTTGGAAACTTGCAGCTAATTTTCTCCTTAACCATTACATTTTTAACGATTCTTTGGGGTCGTGTTTATATTTGTACCCAATACATTTATATGCTCAATATGTAACGGTTAAGGACAAAATTAGCTAAAAAAGTTTCCAAATGGCGGCCATTTTGAATTTATGAAAAATTAGGTAATTTAGTATTCATAATCATATATATTTATTTATATAGCGCCTTTATTTGCAGATACCAAGCGCTTCTGCCCCTGGTCATTGGATCCACATGCTTAAGTGTTGCTGCTGTACACAGCGCAGGCGCAAGCAACCCCACCATGTACCCATTTATACTCCTGGGTGGAGAGAAGCAATGTAGATAAAGTGCCTTGCTCAAGGACACAAGTGAAATGCACAGCGAGGGATTGAAACCCCTACATCAAGGTTGGGAAACCAAACCTTTCACGCTGCGCTTCCTGCTAGTATTGGACGATTAAGGTAGATTTTGGATATGCTAATTGTTACAGGCAAAAGAACATATTTCAGTAATAAAACAAACTTTTGCAATTTGTTTCACTCAATGCCTATTTTCCATCTGTTTCTACCTGTCTAATGGGGGGCTTAGCGGACAAAATCTCAACGTGTATTGGTGTAAACTTTGGTTACGGTATCAAAGTAGCGCAACTACAGCAACAGTTTCAGTTCGGGATCTCAATAAATATAATGTAGCATACATATATAACATATTTGCAGTTACGTGGTGAAGTATGTTATTTCTGTCGGAAAAAGATGCTGATACAATGAGTGTGAAAAAAAGCTTTTGACTTGTAGAAATTGTATGTTGTGTCACGTTTCCGACGTTTTATGTTTCGTTTCTAATGTAGCAAAAACGCCTGAACCAAGAAATAGTTTATATATTTAGGTGGTTCTTATACACGAAGAAGACAAATATAACCTTATGTTACCTGTTTTAGGATTGTTTGGTAAGAGCAAGGTAGAAACAGCAACTATTGATGCAATGACGGAAGCTTTACGGGATTTAGAAAAGCCATTAACTGACTGGTACCATGCAAAAGATGAAACCAAGAAGGTACTCACTGTTATTGTTGTTGTTGTTGTTGTTGTTGTTGTTATTATTATTATTATTATTATTATTATTATTATTATTATCATTTTCATTATCATTATCATTACCATTATTTGATTGGTTCCAAGCAAAAGAGGAGACCAAGAAGACACCCATTGTTATTATTATCATATCTGCCAGGAGATATCTTCGTTTCGTGATGTTTGTATTTGTGTGTTTGTGTATAATGCTTTGCTGTTTCAATTTTTTTTTCTTGTGTTTGAAATATCTCAAATAAGGCTGCACAGACATAATTGAAAATAAGAGGGAGTGTTAGGTAGCCCAATGAAGAAATGATTTTGGTGACTGTCCGGAGTAGGGTGTGGATATGTGAGGACCATTTAAGGGAATTTGTCCTAGGCATATCTCAAAAAGAAATCAACTAACATGAATGAAACTTTCGTGAACGTTTGACCAAGTTACAAGGAAGAAATTTTCAAGTGTAGGTCTCGATCCAAATTCGGGGGTGAACGTGAGGGCCATTTAAAGTTTTAAGGTTCTCGTGTTCAAATTATCTCAAAAACAGCTGCATAGATTTAAATTCCAGTTACAGGGATTGTTAGGTATGACCCAAGGATGAGGTGATTAAATTTTGGTGACTTCTACTTTCTCTCTCGAATGTTTTAGGAAATGTTTATTTCTTTGAAGAATGAATCAAACAAATGAATCAAACAAGTTCTAACACAATACAAATTACAACAATTATATTCATCGTATCAGTAAAGACTGTACTACTGATATGTAGTTAATGCGTACTGCAGGAGCACAAATCAGCATACACACAGCTAAATGTAAATACGCACATAGTATACAGTACTGATCATATCACTATAGCAACCGATGACTGCTACAACATACAGTTGGTTATTAAAATTAAAACATTATTGACTTTTAAAGCAATTAGTAGAGCATGCATCGTACACTAGCGGAAAATTATTACACTTAGGTTAGATATAATGCATTCAAAAAATTCTTGTGGGCCTTGCAGGCCCTCAGGAATTTTTTCCAAGCATTAAATCTAACCTTGGTATATAATAATTTTCCTATAGTGTACTATGCGGAGCTCTACTAATTGATTGTTTATACTGTATTCATTCAAGGTTTATTCAGAACATATCGTGGTCACAGCAAAAGTTAGATTATTACACTACTCACAGCTAAAACAAAAACATACGAAAAGCAGATACAATCAATAAAAGACAAGCATGAAAGATCAAAATTATCATTATCATTATAATTCTTATTAATATTAATATTATTAATATTATTATTGTTAATTATTATTATCAATATTGTTAATATTATTAACAATATTAATAATGATAATAATAGTGATGATGACAATGCTGATGAAGAAAATGACGATGGTTGTAATATGGATAATAATAACAACATTGGTTATTATTGTTATTCATTTCCTTAGTGTTACATTTTAAAACTTCTACAATTGACTCGGATCCATACATTGTACCGGTATTACTGTACATACAATATATTAATACAATAAATAATCGGAAATCCTAATTCAGTATCTGCTTGATTTCGAATTATAGGCTGAGCTTAAAAAGGAATTATACGAACAGAAAGCACCGACACTCCTAAAGATTCTTGAAAAACAACTCAGCTTAAATAATGAAGGAAGTGGCTGGTTTGTTGGCGAGTCGGTGAGTTATGATCACTATCGGAAACTTAAATGTTTTCGATTTTTCCTAAGATAATATGTTTGCATTTAAACAAAATTATGATTGATAAACTTATTTGTTGATTTGTTGGTTTATTGGTAGATTAATTCATTGGTTAATTGATTGATTGATCGGTCGATTGATTCACTAAAGCTTGGTTTCCATACATTCACTGCACGCTATCGCCGACAGCTGTCGGTGAACCGAGGCAATTCAACAATTGAAATACCTTGGATGAACCTGAATTTGCATAAAAATCGCTTTACGCTATCTTTGACGCTGATTGGTTAGTTGAATAAGGGAACGTTCCCGATTGCGTCGGTGACAGCAACGCAGTGCAAGGATTGCAGTGAAAACGCTTTAACGACGTGTAGCGATTCAATGGAAACCAACTAGATGCCGATTGGTCGGTCGAATCAGGAAGCCTTCCCGATTGCGTCTTGGACTGCTACACACAGGCCTACAACGATTGCACTAAAACACTGTTTTTTTTTAGAACAATAAGCGATTTTAAGGAAATCAGGTTTACTGATAAGTGAATCACACCACAGTTTCATAAAGGAATAAAATAAAACTCTTCGTAGTTTTTCTTTCGTCATGTTATGTTGCCAACGAATTTGCCAATTATTTCAACAATATAATATAATATGTAAATAAAAAACAGAATGATAAAATAATACGATAAAAAATAATTTTATTATACGACATCAACCAAATTGTTTATCATTTTATTAAAATACTTTATACAGAAGTTCAATGTATTTGATTTAAAGACAATTCAGTTAACAATGATCTTAAACATATTTTTTTCTTAGATTACGTTGGCGGACATTTCGTTCTTTGATTGGGTGGGATGGCTTACATTTGGAAATCCAGACGTACTAGCAGATTATCCAAAACTGAAAGGCCTGCACGGAAGAGTAAAGGCGTACGAACCTATTGCTGCCTGGTTAGCCAAGAGGCCAGAGACTGAGTTTTAATCTATTGGATGTTTTGATGTTTGCTGAAATAAAGTCTATTCAATATTCATTTAAATAATGACAATAAATACATCAACTGTAGGTATACTACACTGGATATTAACATTCACAAATCGACAAGGAATACGTTTTAGCTAGAATATACGGTACATAATTCGTTAAATTTGCAAGTGAAATATGTTTAAAATGATTTGATTATGAAAAGTAACAACTTCTTTCGTCATTAATAACATAATAAGTACAAGTGGCTTTCAAGATTCAAGATTCAGGAAACTTTATTGTCTGTTATATACATAATAATAATGAAATCTTTTAAAGCGCCGGTATCCGTTTAAGGAAAACGCTCATGGCGCCCCTCCACAAGAAGTCAAAAATATGACAGACAAAAGAACAATGATGTTTAAGAACCAGAAACAATTAAATTAAATGAGCCGTACTTGGGTCAGCGTCACTCTCTCTTACATGAAAATATACACATTTTTTATTAAAAAAAAATTTTTTTTGGTTTTTTTGGGAAGATCAAAAAGTTGAAAAGAAGTTACATAAACACATTAGGCCTACTCGTTCAAAGCCGATACAGATACAATCTTAAAAATAAACATCAAACAGTAAAAGAAGAATAAAAAATTCTGATACCTGATTTGTTGTAATTAATAACAGAGTGTCGAGGATGTGTAGGATCTTTCATTATATGCAACTTAACGGCCACAGATTTTTCATAATTATATTGATGATATTGGTGTAAGGTCAGTAGTATTAATGATACGTTAGGCGACTTTCCTAGGCCTTTCGAATTTCTTCTTGTCCTTAACTGTTACCATAGTAGCTAGAAATATTGAATGAAATAATACTTGAAATAATACTTTGATAAAATAAAACCAATATCTGTAAAACCATTCAATAAAAATTTACTTTTAAAAACTTTTATGTCTGTTTTTTATTTGATTGTGTAGAGCTCTCTAATATAATGACATTGTTATTATTTTATAAAATAATAATTATTATTATTATTAAAATTGTTACTATTATTATAGTTGCATTATTTTCGAAAATTATTGTGTAATTTAATTCAATTTGAATTTGCTCCAAAAGCCACCAACAGGCTATTATTCGCTATTAAGAAACTATAACATTCATCATCAATGCACAGTTGCAATATGCCTTCCCAAAAACAAGATCATTAGATCAATGTGTTCCAAGGATGGGGCTGTACGGATGGAGGCATTGTTGGCAGTGCTAAAATAATAAACACACATACAGTTTGGAGATTAATACTTTGTATAAAAAATGTCGGTCGGACAATGATTTTCCAATTATACTTTTATATAATAAAACTACTAAATAAATAATAAAACAAATAAATACTACTAATATATCGTAACAATGTGTATATAATGGCGATAATAAAGGTGATAAAATATTGATGATGAGGAGTAAAAGAAGCTCCTATAAAATTAATAATAGTAATATTGTGCATGAAGCGCTATATAAGAGCGACATATTATTATTATTTATTATTATATGTACAATTACTAAAATAGAAGACAGGAGTCACATCTGTAGCCAGTTTTCACGCAATTCAGTCTAGTATTATCATGCCAGTGCAGACACGGAACCAGCGTTCATCCTGACAATCAAACATAATGTGGACAATCAAACATAATGTGTTTACGAAGCGGTCAGACAATTAAATAAGGATTTTAAAGCAGATGTTTGCGCTAATTATAACATTTCTATGAAAAAGTATGAACTTTGACTCACATGATCATCCGGCGCTGCAGTTAGTTTAGGCCTACTTTTAAAATCTCTCATCCAGAACTTCACCACGGCGAACGGTGCGAAGGTCAGGATCCGATCCAGCAGCAGTGCGTATTCATTACCTTGCAGTATATTAGACAATAAATAATAACAGACTTAAGTCCAACCATCGATTTAAAGTCCGGTACCTAGCTAGACATTTTAAGCTCCGTTACGGTTTTAGGCCAACCATAAACGAAATATTCTTCTCTTTTTTCCCCGAAGTTTACTTCGATTGTATTACATAGAGGGCGCTTGTTTGGACATTTTTCATAGCCACAGTATGGTTTTGCTCGACCTGCCCGTGCGTGACGTGTGGATCGAATACACATATTATTATTTTACGTTTCGAAGCCATATAAAAGATTCTTTAAACTGAATTATTTTTGTTAAATTTATTTCAATATACACTTGGTTAGTATTAACTCTGTCATTACTTTGAATATTTGTTGGCAAGCTTGCCATCGTTTTATTGTGGTGCCACGAGATACCAACCCTGGCCTTAGGCCTAGGGTTTTTATAATAGGGACTGCAGTTTCAGGCCTAAAAAAAAGATAAAAAATAAATCCGACCGACCGACCGACCGACCGGCGATCTCGATTTTTTTCATTTAAGGGCAGCACAACAATTTTTTGTTTTGGCCAAATGATCGTACACAGGTAGAATTGATTATACAACAATGAGTATATCTCGTATCGATTAAACGTTTTCTTTCGTTGTATACTTTAAGTTTAATAAACGTAGGTCACTATCTTTAAAACAGGAGATAGAGTCATGGAGACGTTAACTCTCCTTTTACATATTTTTATATCATATTTAGGCCTACTTCACCCATGCAGCAGTACCTGTAAGTATATTTTTGTACTATAGATAGTACTATAGATTTTAAATATTCTAATGAAAAAAGTGATGACAATGGCTGTAGACGTGTAAAGCGCACAATAGTCGGTAAGTCTGTATGCAGTTTAAGAAGGGATTCACTATATAGTTTATGCTTTAGCTAGAGCTACTGAAAACACTGTCTGAAGAGATTAATGAAAAGGATGGTAAAATGAAATCCCATTGGATATTCTAAAAATATAAACAAAAATATAATTATTGTAACTACTGTAACGTTTATATAATTGTTATTATAAATATTAGTTTATACCTGTATTAGTTTATAATGGAAACGTCTAATTTAAGTGGCTGTATATCTTTGAATATTCTTCTTATGTTATAAATGTCACGTTTTTTGTAGATCCAATGTTATTGACAGAGGGCTATCAAGGTAGAGTAGAAATATTTTATAATGACGAGTGGGGAACAGTTTGCGATGACAGGTTTGCTATGCAAGAAGCACATGTGGTTTGCCGACAACTCGGATTCTTACAAGCAAACACATTCAATGTAGCCTACGGAGGCGGATCCGGAACAATACTCATGGATGATGTGAATTGTGACGGCACAGAATCCTACATCTGGGACTGTGATTTTAATGGCTGGGGTGTACATAATTGCGAACACTGGGAGGACATCGGCGTTGTATGCGGTCAGTATTTTTTTCTTCATTAATGTGTGAGCGTAAACGTTTTATGAAAGAAAGTGCCTGTTGGTTAAGTTTGCAACTATACAGTACAGGTGTCTGTGGTGTAATGGTATGATAGGCTACTTGCCTTGATAGCGAGAGGCAAAAGATTCCAATCCCGTCAAGAACATTCTTTTTTACACAACTGAAAAAGCCACTTTTTGTAGATAGGCTATACTTAATAGGCCTACTGTTATAATATGTATGTTCCTATTTAAGGACTGTTATTATTTAGCCTATCTAAATTGTTTGTATTTTGTTTTTACGGTGCTACGCAGCATACCTAATTTGAGGGTTCCGGCCCTTTGTCGCCTGGCCGTTGCCACGCGACCTTTTTTGTCACCCGTCCTTTTGCTGCCTCGGCTTGTTGCCAGCCGGCCTGTTGCCATTCGGCCTATTACCAGAATAATAATAAATATAAGAATAATTGCCGGATTTG